TGGCACAAACTTCTCAGCTAGATTAGCATTCTTGCGGTATTCAATATCTCCACAACAATTTGAACTGAAGTAAATCACTGTGTCAGCAGTGCTCTAACCAGTTGGGAAGGTCGTCGAGGATACTTTCTTGGGGTACTGCTACAAGAACCTCATCTAGAGAGGACTGGCAGTTTTCAACAGATGTAACTTGATAAAGTCTTTCGATTTAATATCTACAACCAGCTGCCAAGATGTTGAGACACTCCAACATAATGATAATCATAAAAAACAACAGCAACACTTTTTTCAACTAAAATCGCTTTTGGGCGCACAAAATTAAAGAGTGATATAACATTAACCTCTCCCTCCCCTCCTGTCAAAGTTGATTCTCCAAATTTTAATAAGGGTCTTCATTGTACTGCTAGCAAACTTAGAGTTGCAAAAAAATTGCTCGGGGCAAATATGGTGCAAAAAGGTGCAAACGAGGAGGAAATCAAAGCCAAAGATGGTAAATACCGCACTTGCACACCAGTTTACATGGTTGTAAATTCGAGGGCAAATGCGGTATTTACCATCTTTACCTTAATAAAACGTTAGTTTGCCCTCTTTGCACCATATTTGCACTGATGAAATTTGATGTAAATCAGGAGCCTGCGATAGGCTCCTGTGTAAATCAAATTTTTTGTGCAGTAGGGGTGAGGAAGGATCGCAAGCAGAAGATCATGGACACATCATTTAATCCAAAGCATTGTACTGGGTCTTAAGTATTTTTACAAATGGTTGTAGCTGCAATGTTTCGTGAGATTTTTCAACAAGAAGGACATAAGTTTCCAGCTGTTCATGTTCTCACTTTCAACCTGGTTCCTCTTAGACTGAAGAATCGCAGAACGAAATTTAAACGCCGCATATAAAACAGCCAAAACCACTATTTTAGCATAGTTAGTATGATGTTAGCACATCACTTGAAAACTTGGAAATATTGCTGCCACATTTATTAGTCAACGGCGCGTCTTGCAGCTGAAAGATGTAGACACGCCGGCAATTCCAGAATCCAGTTTGTCTTTGGAACTTGGATTCTGAATTCCAATCGCTTTTGGTATTCCGGATTCCTTGAGCTGTATTCCAGATTCCAAAGCCCAGGATTCCACATTCCACAAGCCAAAATTCCTGGCATTCCGGACTCCCTTACAGGGGCCGAAGTTTCCTTACAACCTCGTGTAAAATTTAAACAGAATGACCCAGCCATAACTGCTAAATACTGTTTATATTATTGATAATATCTTGTATTTAAATCAACAGACTCGTGGGGAAAAAAAAAGTACAATAAAATAAAATAAATAAATAAATAAATAAAATAATAAGCCTTTGGTAAAACGTTACCTAAGGGAATTGCACTATCGTGATCGTCGGCGATATGTCATTCAAAGTTCTCTTTTGTGAAGAATCAAAATTATTAAGTTTCTTCTCGCATGCATGACCCTAGTTATCGCCACCATTCATCACTTCAGCTATATTATAATATTTTGGCCATATTGACAGTTACGTTCCAATGGACGATTCGCATATGTAACTACAATACTTCACTAGGCGGTGCCTCGCTGACTATTTTGCTGTTAGGATGTATTTGGACATCAAATGTTACATACAATAACCTAGCTAGATACTTCGCAAAGGACAACCTTGCGAGGGTACTGATTCAAATTCTATACTTTTTCTCTCCAGATGTAACATTCAGGATCATCGTCACAATGATAGACTGAAGACGAAGTCGATGGTTTCCTCGCCTTCAACATGCCCTACTTGGATTACAAACAACGGAAAACATTCAGAGGCAATGACAAATGACCAGAATCGACAAACGTCCATGGATACTTTAGATACGATATCAAAACTGAATTGCCAATACTTGTCTGGCGACAGAAGACGTTTAACCAGGGATAAGTATCAAAAGTACTTGCGCGATCAAGGCGAATGGCTGGAAGAAAATATGACCCCTCTGTGTTACTCACGCTACGAATCCTGTGATGCAAGGCGTAATAATTATGTGGCCAACTCCAGAGGTGAAGCACCAGATACTAAACCGAAAGTTTCCTTTTGGCTTGCCGCTCAAAAAGATGCACATACCTATGTGCCTAAAAGACACAGAATCATGGGCGTTCACACTTCTAACTTAAAAGGAAGGGAATCATCCACGATCCAAAGCCATTCATTGCAGCCACTCTCACGGGAAAATGATTGCGATTTCTTGAATCATAATCTCCCGTTTCGAGGATCGAGACGAAAGCGAATGCATTCTAAAGTAACTTCTCTTCCTCCAGTTCATGTTGACGCCATGATGTTCATGAGGAGACACACGAAAAACAGCGATCGGGCTTCCAACGATGAAGAGAAGTTAAATCAAGCCATCTTTGGCGAGATTAAGCCAATACGAGTTGCTTGCCAAAGCCAATCACTTCCGCAAGAGACGATTATAGACAAATGTGCAATGAACCCTTATTTACCGAGGAGATCAAACAGATCTTTTCGTCAACGGAAGTCAAATTTCAAGGGGAGTGCGAATACGGGATCATTCAAAGACGTGTTGGGCGATTCCAATAGCCTTTCAAAGAGAGATGTTTCTCAACTAATCCACTGGCACACCGTCGAAGATGCGCAGACAGGTACCGGATGGCAAAAAGGTTCCAAAGGCTTGCCTCCTGTCAGTTCAATTCATTCGTTTGAAGAGACTGCTCTAGAATTTAATGACAAAAGTAACAAACAGAACAACACACCCTCGCGTCTTCAAAATGAAATCGAGGACGCTATGCTGCACACTGGAAAACTAGAGCTAACCGCCATTCTATAAAAATCGAAGATGCTTTGATGCTCAATGAAGAGCTTGACCACGAAGGAAGATTTTCTTTGCCAGTTTCACGTAGCTTCTCCGCCAAAGAAGCAGTCGCGTTTCAGGAAGCATCGGAACCTCAACCTTGGCAAGACATTTCGCAAATACTACACACACATACCATTTCCAGGAAAGAGTCAAATCAAAACGTGCGTCCTCGTCAGTCACAATTTGCAGCTTGTGAGCACTCATTTCTTAAGGAACAGAAAGACATGTTTCCCGGATTAAAAGTGGCTAATGATCTCCCAGTAGATAATATAAACCAAGGATGTGCTCAAAAGATGTGCTCGCGTGTAACTGACGATCCTCGTATGCTCTACAAACCTGCAAGAAGCAGTTCGAGGACCTGTTCTTTATACAGCACAATACATACCGATGATCATTTACAGGGTTACTGTCCTCAGCAGCTAGAAACAGTGAAGGACACAAGTAAAAGGACAGTTATACCTCAGATGGACTTTGAGGCGGTTTCTGACACACAGGCCAATAGCCGAAAGATATCAAGCCGACGAAGCCAACAGCGGTATTCGCGCGCATGGAACCCCACAACTTGCGAAGATAACATAAACTTAGCGACAAGAGAGGAAACGATTCAAGAAACTCAGTGTCACGTTGAACACAAAGAGGGCAACGAAGACGATATCAAACGTAAATGCGCTGCTCTTGTCCCAGGTAATCACTCTTCTGAGGAATCACTAAATGTGGAAAGCGGCACCAATGAAAAACGAAGAAGTAGTTGGCAAACCAAACTAAGAAGATGGTCAAGAAGAAGTAGTGGTCACGCCGAGAAGAGGAATCCATGGAATGACAGTTTAGTCAGCAAGTCTGAGCTACATCCTGTGAAGGAGTCAGATGACGATACATTTGAAATTGAACTAGAACTGGAGGAACTACGAGAACGTCAATCGTTTCTGAAGAGGCGAAAAGGTGTCTGTACTGAACTCGAGAAAACTATGAACCTTGTTAAGCTCAACGGAACAACAATGTCTTTGTTCGACTTAAGACAAGACATTTGTAACTTGGTTGATGATGGCATTTTTAAAAACATTCACGACGGGAAAAAAGTTGGGTAAGGACGGTATCGTGATCGATGGTTATCACTGCATGATAAATTGGGCGTTCATAATAATGTTCACTTGTGTTCCGCGACTGTTGAAACTTAAAAGTTCAAAAGTGCTTTGGTCATTTGCCAACTAATAGGCCTTTTCCGAGTTCCCTCGGGCCTCTGTATCAAAACGAGGTTAAGTGCTCAGTCTTTCATATAGAAAGGAAATTTTATTCTAATGCACATAAAACTCATTTTCACAAGAGAGGTTGTGCACTTGGCCTCATCTTGAAAGTGAGGGTTTTTGGAACTCGGAAGTGGCCTATTCGTTGCGGAGATAACGGATCCCAAATATAGAAAATAGGTCTTCGACACTGTGTATGTCGTTTAGTCACGAAATAATGTAAATAAATCCCTGGAATGCAACTTTTCGTGTCATATCTGGCATGATTGACTCTCTTCAGTAAGAAAATTGATTCAAATGGTAACTTTTTTTGAAGTCAGCTTTATCAGGAAACAGCCGCATTTGGAGTGGTCGGCTTTTTTCTTTATTTCAGGCCACTTTTTTTTTCGTTTCTTTTAATTTGTCGAGTATCGGGAGAGAGTTATTAATCCAAAGAAACAGTAGGACTCAAGGACGATTTTGAGAGAGTAAACTGCAGGCGAAGGGCACACAACGACTACCAGCCCTCAGTGTGCTTAGCGTTCTCGCTCAAAGGGCTACGCCGCAGCAAGGACACGCAAAACCAGTTAGCGCGAATTCCCTTACAGTGATGATGTACTTTAATTATATTACCGTGTCATAAATGTGCTTAGAAACTTGCATCTTTCAGTTGCTTGTATTAAAATAATATTGTGCATAGAATGATAAAGGTCTCCATATCTTTTACGACCCTTCTCCCCTATCCCACTTCCCCTGGCCTTTTCTGACAGAACCTAGTTGTTATCAGTATACTTCGCAGATCGTATTTTGTGACTTAGACGCAGTATTTGCTTGTTTCTTCTTATTATTATCTTTTATTTGGGGGGGGGGAGGTAATGCTTTTTGATCTTAGTACAGCCAAGATTCTCTCTTGGTACAGCTCAAATTACGCGTACCTGAGAAAATATGATAACCTGAAGGGCAGAAAAGTTTTGAATTGTACGTATCTACCTACAGTTTCTCACACTGCGCTTAAACGAGGGAAGCCCTAAAATTTGAACACAAATGGACAACGAATAACCTTTACGCTGGAATGAAGTGGTGGTGAGTCTGTAGTAAATCAAATTTTCTTTACAATTGTCGCACTCTTTTATGGACTGGTATAGCTTTTTTTTCCTGGCAATGGAAAATCACTAGCGGTAAATATTTGTTGGAAATCGACTTTTAATACAGCTGTTGCTTCAATACCTATCGGGCTCTGAGACATCGGGCGGCTACATATTCAAATCTCAGACTGCCTGAAATTATCAGTACGTAGGGATTTCTTCGGAATTGTTCAATGCTAAAATATTAATGGTTATTCCTTTACTGAGAGGTCGTCTTCATAAGCTAGCTTAAAGAGCAACATTAGTACAGACTGAACAGACAAACAGAACCTGCCGCTGGCAAGTGTTTGAACCCCAAATTGCATAGTTACTATTGATAACATTCTTCTTTGATTCACTGACTTGCTGTTTGAGAGAAATATAATGCTTTTAGCCGATGCACTGTCTTTCAAATTCTGCTGCTCGTTTAAAACCATGTATCACCAGGGCACAATTTGGCGAGAATTTTATTCCTTTAATGAAGAAGAGCCCTTAACTACACCACATAATTTTGTATATGTAATGTTATTTCAAATTCGTGAATAAAATAATATGCAAGGTTTAAAATGGCCAACATAGCTGCCTCTCGCCGCTACAACCGCTATGAACCAAAAAAATACAAGATAGATGAAATAATAATTTGTAGTGGACTGGAGAAGGAAAACGTAAGCAGGAAAATAACGCCTTTGCAACCTCCTCCACCGGGGAAATTACCCACAACATTTCTATTTCCCTTCCCAGAACCATCCGTATCTTTTAGCTGACGGAGCCCGAACACGAGGTGGTCACTTTGTCCTCATACTTAGGCTTCCACAGTTCAGATGGCCAGGCCGCTCTGGAAGGATACAAACCAGATTACTTAACGAAATATCTACCTACAGTTCAAGAGTTAGTTAACCTGTTTGGTCTCCTGTTGTGAAGAATATGGCGGGAAAATAATAATAAAAAAGTTAATCCGTAATTCTGACGAAGAGACACGTACATGTAGCGCAAGAAATTACACTCAAAGAGTTCAGTAGAGCGAAATAAGGTGAACAAGGAGCGACAAGCACGGAGCAGGAATTTTAGAGTTAAAAAGAGATGCCTTTTCATACGTTGCTAAATTCTAATGAAAAAGAATCTTGTAACTTTTTTAAATCGGCGTATGCTACGTTTCCGATTCGTCATCGCGCTTCTGGTTCTGTTTTTCATTTTCAGTTTGTTGTATTCTTAACTCCTCATCAAGCCGCTCCTTCGCTCTTACAACCTAAAAGAGGAAATAAGAACGGAGGGCAATTAGCACAGAGCCAATAGTGTATATAATATGGGGCGAGAGCTTACCTTTCGTTTCGCTACAAAGTCGTTTCGCTGCATATCGAAGTCGTTTTGTGCCAGTCAAACCACCGGACACCGGGCGACACAGGGTGGCCAAATGGTCAGGGCGCGGGACATGCAATCGGGCAGACCCGGTTTACATTTACAGTAAGTCCTGCCATGACCACTGCCCGGATTTGTTTCTAGGTATAAGTAGTTTGTAGCTGAACATTTTGGCCACGATTGTCATGGCCAACTGGTTTGTCTCCTACCAGTTGGATTTCTTCGGAGAGGTCAGCGGTGAACTTGCAATCTTAAAACCCTGAGCTGAAATCCCGCAATGACCACTACATGAATTTATTATTATTGGCATTCCCAAGTTAATCTCTTTATTCACGCTTGTAAACAGCCAACTGATTTGTCCCTAGCCAGTTGGGAATCTTACGGGCTACGTTTAGTTTAAACTAGAGAGGAAAATGCTTGTGTTACCCTGATGAAGCTTTTTTAAGGTCGAGTAAACACTCCTGTAAACTCATTTACAACAATGGATTTACATCACTTTCTTTTTTTCATTTGACTTTGTTGAGTGCACATGCTTACCTTTGATTGTAGGTAAAAAGATCCACCTGCTTTCTTTTCATTGACTTTGAAGAGGTGATCAAAGTTCTGTAAGAAAACGAAACAAAAAAAACATGTACGGTCAACGCTCTCCTTGCGACTTGTCCCATAAGCAACAGCTATAGAATGCAGACGTCTCTCATCGTACCTGGCTGCTAGAGTCGTTTCGCGGAAGACATCTGCGATTTTTCCCCCAGAATGCCATAGGGATGACGTGAAACAAGGTCTGCAGAATTAATCTGACAGTCAGATGTAAATTTGTTCGAGTTGTGTTTCTTCTGGTCTAAGTTTTGAGTTCTTCTGCGAACGAGCAACGGCAAAATTCAGTTCCACAAATAATGACTCTTTTCCTGTAGATTCACGGCGTTTACATTTGATCTTTGTGACCTTATGCCTTTTGTTTGTCATAAAGTGGCTAAAATAATAGAGTTACTACGTTGACCAAACATTGCTCGCTGACCAGATTCTGTCTTCAATATGGAATTTCTGGGGCCATATTGCAGATGTCTGTATTCGCGGGAAACATTGAAGTGCATTTATGACTCACAGTGTTCATGAAACTGTGTACTGAAAAGCTCTCATAATCAACCACTCCTCCACGTGATCGACCCGATCACTCCTGTGAGTTATCCGCTGGCCTTTACCTTTGTTTTTGAGTTCTTACAAATGACCAACCAGTCAACTAATAAAATAAAAGGACTTACTCCCTGATTTAATTTAGGGTTAAAAATGTTCAGTTGTCTAACATAACCTTAAAAAATGCAAACAAACAAACATTATAAACACAACTAAATCTAATTATCACTCCCTGTAAATGCACTGGTAATTACTGTATCAACATAGATAATCCATTTTTTTAAGTAAAAGCAACCGTTTGCAGCAACAGTCCTGGCTAAGCTTATTTCATAGTCACTTTCAGATAGCTGCTACATGTGTATGTACACTGTATAATATGCTACAGGTCAATAATTATTATTTTAACTGTATTCAGGTTAAATTCTTTTAATCTACAAAATGTAGATTCATTCTTAATGAATAAACAGGCAGGGTTGCAAATCATTTTTTCTCTTTGAAGGACATATGCCCTACTAAGACACCATCTTGGTCGGACAAAACAAAATTTTGGTCAGACATCAAAAATTTTATATCAGGTAAAACAGAGCACATACTACACTAATGTAAAAGAAAACTGCATCCTAAGTCAATGTTGTTTCATGATGACTTTGAGATCGTCTTAACTCAAAGTAAGATTTAGTTAAGGTAGATTCATATTTTTCCTTACTGTAAAATGATTTACAATAAAAACAAAAACACTCTCCGGACATACATATAATGTCAGAACACAGGTGGGATTTGGTCAGACACTAGCAAATTTTGGTCGGCCAGTTATTTTCGATGATCGACTGTTATTTGTAGCCTGGCCTGATAAGGGATAGAAGACAAAGAAAATTGAGAAACAACCTAGGCCGAAATATTTTAATCTGAATATAATTAATAATTATTATTTTCACCTGTAACACAATTTTATACAAGTCAGTTCATTCAAATACCTTTTGAATTACTTCTGGGTCTAGATCTTGAACATTAAGAATCTGCTTGGCTTCCTGATGCAGATGGAGGAAAACATAGAAAAAGAAACAAACAAAGATTGAAACTTGTTCACTACACTCAAAAAAAGGATAGAAGGCCAGAAGCCTTTTTCCCTATGGTCCCAGTAGCATTTTGTCAAGCACCCTCTAGTATGAAAATTCCAGGGGATGGGGGGTCTAAAGTAAAATTGCCCTCTGTGGAGTGGGGTTTGGATGTTTCTGGAACTTCACAATGTAAGCAAAAACAGGCCACTACTGGGACTTTTGACCAAAAAAGTGACAGATTTTCGGTGATTTTGTTACCTCTGTGTCCTGCGTCCCTGATGCATAAATGTAAAAGTCCCCAAAGACGCAAAACTAAAAACTAACCACAGAAGGAGTATATTGCCTTCTTAAAATTGTAACAGTGAAATCTCTAGCTCCATTCAGCAGACAGCCTTGGGACCAAGGCAATTGTCTCTTGAATAGAGGTGCCCCCTGAATAGAGGTTTAGCAGGGGGTTTTGTTAATAGTTAAAAAACAAAGACAACATTAAAAAAAATTCATCATAGATTGATCTCTGCTCTAGGTGTTATGATCAACGAGTCTTTAAGCTGGAAATATCACGTATCATTTGTCTGTTCCCATTATATCGAAACACTGGAATAATAGTTAACGAAATTAAGGAATTACCTCTCAGTTAAACAACTATGACAAATGGGCAAACAATCAATCTCTTTTATGGTTACGGACATTTTGGAGAGACCTTCCAACTCATTTTAAAAACTCATTTTAAAAAAACTCAAGAGCGTCTCCATTTCAGGATAAAATTGTGTACAACTGTATACTGTCAGAACAACAAACGATATAAACTTTTGTCTAATTGCTGATGAGGCAACATACTTCATGTAAATAAGTTGTTCCTTCTTTGTTTTTTGTTCTTAATTTTTTTTTCTCGTTGTATTTCTTTTGACTTTACCTGCTACCTAGTACCGTAATTGTTCAGGGCGCTAACAAGAAAACCAACTGGTTCATTTAGCTTCCAAGCTTGCATGTTATTTTCATTACATTTAATTAATCTCTTATTGCAAGTAAGTGTACAGATTGTTATATAAACCACCTACATCCACAAAAGCATAATTAAGATTGTTCTTATTCTTATTCTTGAATTGACAAAAGTGCATTACATCAATTATTTAAGTAAGATGGTTCAGTTTGTGAAAGCTTCCATAATTGCCATTAGTGTACACACTGAAAGATATCAACCCTCTTTGTAGTCAGTCACTCTTTGAGTGCTAAGGTGTTCCCTGAATGGAGGTTAAAGCCAGGTTTTGGGGCCCAGAAAGTGTCCCTTTTCCCCTGAATAGAGGTGTCCCTTCAACAGAGGTAATAGATAAAACGATTATACAGGCGTTTCTGCAGAACCAACTTTGTGTCCCCTGAATGGGGGTGTCCTTTGAACAGAGGTGTCCCAAAGGAAAGGTTCCACTGCAATAGTAAATTATGTTTAGGTGTTTGATGTCTAGATAAACCTTTTAAAAAGGTAGCTGAACTAACCTGCAAATTAAGTCCTGCAACACTGTTTGCTGCAGCTCTTTTAGCACCTTCCTGTGCCCCTTTTGATGCTCTTTGGGCTGCTGCTCCACCTAAAGTCAAGACAATAACAGCACTACATAAAACAGGCCTTCAATTAGGGTGCAATAACAAAATCAGAAATTATGCGGCATTTTCAGGGTATATTGTGTGATAAGTCTATTGTGCAATAAGTTATGCGAATTCTGTGATTTTGTAAGGGCTAATTTAACCATGTTTTACCAGGTTTTAGAGGATGACAAATCTACATAAAATTTTGAGTGAAAAAAAAAACAAAAGAGTTAAATTTTGTCCTGTTATCTTGACCAACAAGAAAACAAATGGAAACAATGAAAAAGGTGTGATATTACATGATGTGTTGTACCACTGCCTAAACCGCTGCTGCTGCCCGACGGTCATGAACAACCACAATCAAAGAATTGACTGAGATGAAAAACACAAACAGATTGGCAGATCCCCTATCAAGGATTCCTAACTCTGGAGATCTTAAATGTGTTCTGTTTTAAGGGTTCTTTCCTGCAGTACCCCCACCCCCACATCAATCTCCCCCCACTCCCTTCCTTATACACAAAATTGACCCAGTCCCCGGTCATTAAGTGAGTTATTTTTGGCAACGATGAAAGGCAAGCAAAAATGATGCTCAACAGAATCCATGCTGTGAGCTTAAAAATCAATGATGGGGAGACTTGATGACCAGTAATATGGGTGACTGGTAGATTTGGCACTGTTTCCAAGAGTCCCACAGATAATTATTAACATATCACCCTCTGCTTTAAAAAGAGAAAATTCAGCTACAAGGTTACTCAAAAGATTTTCTCATGGCACCACATGAATTACATTTATTATGCATGCTGAAAACTCACTGTATTTGACAAAAAACAAATTAGAGTTGTTATACCAAATTCCTGGACTGAAGACTCCACCTGTACAGATGTACATGTACATGATGGCACAACATTGGTCATCCTTGGAGACCCAGGGGCAGTCAGTCAGGTCGGGAGAAAGGGCGCAACGAAAGTTTTCAAGTACGGGCAAAAGAGCCCCTGGGTTCCAACTCTCACAAAACTGTTTCCAAAAATTCAAGCGCATGCCGGCTCCTGATTGGGCACAAAAAATGCTTTGTATTATTGTGCCCAATCGGCGTTTCTCCTGAGTTCTTTTCGTGAGTTTGTACACGACGGCCATTGTTTCAATCACGGATTGTCTGGCTCATGCACCAAAGACATGCACGCAGTCAGGATACTTTCAGTTTGATATAAAATCCCCATCTTTTTCAAAAAAACAAGCTTGAGCTTACAACAGGTATTCATGCTTGCATTGGTCACATCTTGCGTAAATATTAGGGAGTTTTTGAAAGATACCACGATGGCTGACAACCACAAAAACGTTGCATGGAAAAGGGAATTCACTTTTTTTCAGTTTCTATCGTGATTATTCCAACTCGCCTATTTTGTCAAAATGCAAGAGCACTCTTCTGGAGCTTAATTTCTAACAACCATATCCAAGTTCACGAAGAGAATCAATTTTGTCATTGCTTGTTTATGTCCTTCACAAAACACGAATTAGGCATTTTCGAGGGTAGTCGCGCAGTTGACGGCAGAGAAATGTACAAAAAAGTGTGATGTACTTGCTTCTCCCGACCCGACTGACTGCCACTCTAAATTCAAGATTTCTTATTTTAAGAAAAAAAAATTAAAACAAATTATAGAATAAGATTTTGTTCTCGTAAATTTAAACTGCCTGTTTGAATAACAGAAAAAAGAGTTCTTATCCTATGATTTGTTTTAAATTTTTCTCGTATAATAAGAAAACTTTTTCTTAAATCGAGAGATTCAGAGCAATCTCGATTTTAGAGTATAATGTTGAATAATTTCTGTAGAACGGCTGTTCTAAAAAAAAAATATGATTTGTAAACTAAAGCTTCACTCCTAAGGATTCTCCTGAAAAAATTTGAGGGCGTTACATGCATTGGAAGACCTAGAACCACTTTTTTTAAATATTCTATTCATTTGTCTGTAAGAAAGTCCCGGGAAAATTACAGACAAATATATGGAAAATCTAAAGCAAGCCTCTGGAGAAATCTAAGCACAGGTACACCCCCAAAATTTTTTAGGACAATCCTTTGCTTTGTAGCTTTAGTTTATAATTGATATTTTTCTCAGAACAGCCGTCTTAGGGAAATTATTCGACATTAGATTCTCATACAATCATTGTAATTTCTCATGCGTTCAGGCCTACTCGTCAAGATGGCGTCGAAAACCGTGACAAGGTCTATTTCCTGTCTGCCCCTGGGTCTCCGAGGATGAACAGTTAGTTAGCAGAGTGTCTATGTTTTTTTTTTTTTAAATTTACATCACACAAAATGTATACATATTACAACTTGACGAAACAAACATAAAAATAGCTGAGGTTACATTTATGCTTGAATTCGCTTAGCTACTTATAATAAAAGGAAAGGACAGTGAACAGTGGACAGTGGATGGCTCAACTTTGCAGGACACATGGCTAAGTCAAAACGGTTAGCTATAGCTAAAGGGTAACCAGTGCAAGCAACAAATTTTAATAAGAAAAAATTTCCATTTGTTTGAAAAGATTTTGAAAGAATTACAGCGGAGTGCTTCTTGTTTTTCCATCTCAATGACGACATTTAGTTTGCCCTTAAAAAGAGTCATGGAGGGAGACATACCTGCACGTTTGCTCGAGTATTTATGATGTCTCCCAATAAGAAGAACGAGATCAATGGCGGTAGAGGGTGCAAATTTAGAGAGTCCCATCAGATGCAGATCGGTTAGTGCAGTACTCTTGAGGCCCTTTTGAATTAAGAATTGTTTAACAACGTTCCAAAAAGCAATTGTTGCCGAACATCTCAGAAATAGATGAGATATAGTCTCCATTTCCCTTTGGCAAAAACAGCATTTGTCCGATTGCTTTAAATTTATTTTCTTTAAAAAATCATTGGTAGCAATCCTCCAATGCAAAAACTTATAATGAAAAGTTCTTAATATTTTGTAGAAGCCGTACAGTGGAAAGCGATTGTGTATGCATCTTTCCAATCAATATCACTTGCATTTTCGACTTGAAGGTCACTGAGCCACTTCTCTTGGCTTCTAATGGGTGTAGAGCTTCTTTTTCTCAGTAGCGACTTATAAATAAAGTTGTTAACTTTACTTTTAGCTGTTAATTCAGTAATAGATGTTCCCTCGGTGGAAACAACCTCATATGTCAGTTTATTTTGCACCTTATTGTTAAGTGATTTAACAGCTGAAGCTATACTACAATACTCGAACCAATTTAACTCCTGAAAATATGATTTCATGGCATCATATCTGAGGAGGTTCCCACCCTCACCTAATAGATGAGTAACTTTGCACACACCATGATGCATCCAGTGTTTACAGAATACAGGCTGATTGTCAATTCTTATCAATGAATTAAGCCAGATAATCTGATCGCCAACATTTGCAATGGAGATGGCTACAGCATTAGAGAAATGCAATTCCCGGAGATTATAACTTTGCGCTTGAAGTGACGTTTTTCTAAGTTGAAAAAGTATTTTGAATTTTTTTCACCTTCGTTATACCAGCGGGTTTTGGACCGTAAGATAGTTCCCTGGGTTTTATATTCGTACATTTTTTCCAAGTTCTCTTTTGCCTCAATCAGTTTTTGCTCCAATTCCCCTTTTAAAATGGGGGACATCGTGACATCTATTTTTTTCTCTTGGTAGGTGATCGTATCGTATTGTTTGGTTTCGTCCGTTCGCCTAGACTTAGCTTTTTCATTTCCGTAAAAAATTGATGACTCTCTAACCTTAAGTTTAATCATCTCCCACAGCAAGGCGGAGTGTCTATGTTAGACTGGTTTGAGACCCCTAGATATTCACTAAAGGTTTTTGGGAAAAAGGCCTTCATACCAATTTAACAGTAATAAAAAAATCTCCCTAGAACAGCGTACTCTCTAATACTGTGCACAATTCGTTTGAAGCATAATTTGCATCAGCATTCGATGGAACTTCCATCATCTCAATCAATTCATTGACATTTTCAACTAACAGTTAATTTGCTTGATCAGGTAGCTAAATGATAGCTAATGGTTGCTCACAAAGAACAATACTTGTTTCGTTTCGCGAGCCAATCCAACAAAAAAAATAGGTGAAGACATTCCAGTGATCGATTGCATCACTTGAACTTACTTTGAAACTCCTGGCGAAGAGCTTGTGTAAAGGCCCGACCAACAACTTGAGCGCCAACAATAATGATTTGAGCTATAAATCTCGCCTGCAGAGAAATACTTTGATCACCCTTCGCGGCACAAAAGCACCAGGAAGTTGTAGAAAGCCAGAATACTCACCATTTTAAAGAGAAAGTATCGACCTACGCTATATCACACACGTTGTTTCCGACATCTTGTTCGGCAGTTTACTAGTTCCCAGACCTTCCTCCGGATTGGTTTCCAGTCCTAATGTGCTCTTGCTCACGGGCGAAACGAAAATAGCATGAGTAGAAAATAGGTTTAGAGAGAAAGAGAGCGATTGCATGCTGCGCTACAAAACACCACATTCGTCACGCAGTTTGCGATTTAGTGGGGACTTTGCCATCCAACGACGCGACGGCAACGAGAACGTCTAAAACAACAATAGGTTTAGAAGGCAAAACAACAACTTTGCGCGTGCATCTCACTTTTTTTGTACATTTCTTTGCCAGTTTTGCACGACTGCGAGGTGAAATTGCCTGTGAATTCGCCTAATTTTTTCTTTTTTGAGAGGACATAAACAAGCGACGACGAAATTTTGTTCCTTTCTAAACTTGTTAATAAGTCGATTTAAATGTTCGTTTAGCCAGTCTTAACGTCTTAGTGATGCTGCCAGTTACGATGACTGTCAGCCATCTTTATCAAAACTTGAAAAACATTAAAAGTGTCAGAAGCCTTAAATAGGCTTCTGAAGGTGTTAATTATTGCGATAAACGTGCAAAGTCACTCTGTAGACGCCCCCTCCCCCCTGGTTTTGGGGGTGGAGATCACTTGTGTCCATATGGGAAAAAGCTGATAGGCTCCCTCGTCCCTGTTCATAGTAGGAGTGTTCGATCTAATACATATGCTTTCCTTGATCCATCGCTTAAACTTGTCGCTTTCCTGCTCAACTATTTCACCTGCTTCCCAGTTCATAATATGATTGTTCTGACAGACGTGGTCTGTTATGGCTGATTTATGGTATTCATTGGTAGAAGCTCTGCGGGTGGATCTTGTGAAATTTCTGTCAGAGATCTTTTCTGCTTCCTTTCTGTGTTCTGTGATCCTGGTTCCCAGCTGTCTCCCTGTTTCACCGATGTATACCTTTTCGCATTGGCTGCACGGAATTTTGTACACCACTCCAGCCTTTTTTTGCTTCTCAACTTTGTCCTTCGGGTGAACTAAAACCTGTCTGAGGGTGGTTTGAGGTTTAACCACTGTGGCTACCCTGTGTTTGGTGAATATACGTTGTATTTTCTCCGTGAATGAGTGGACATATGGGAAAGTCACCACTCCTCTTGATTTTTCTTGTGCTTTATCTTTCTTGGATTTATCTTTTCTCATAGCTTTCTTCCTGTTCATTTGCTCTTTGACCTTCTTTATCGCCCAATTCGGGTAACCACATGTATAGAGGGCTGTTCTTATGTGTTCTTCCTCTTGTTTACGGTCTTCTTCTTCCGTGACGATGCTGTCACTCCTTTCCAATAACGTCCGTATGACAGCAAGTTTGTGCTGAAGTGGATGATGCGATTGAAACGACAGGTACTGGTCTGTGTGTGTGTGGCTTTCCTATAAATCAGTAGTTTGATGGATCCTTCCTCCCTCCTGGTGATAAGGGTGTCCAGAAATGGGATCTGGCCATTTTTCTCTGGTTCATGCGTGAATTTGATGCTGTTTGTTTTGTCTTGAGATGATATGTCAGAGCCTCCACCTTTCCCCTCTTAATGATTTCTAGGATGTCATCCACAACTGTCAGCATCACTAAGACGTTAAGACTGGTTATGTTTTAAGAACATTTAAATCGACTCATTAACTTTACTAGCCTGATGAATTTCTTCAAGAACTTGAATATGGTTATTAGACTACTCATGATTTCTTCTGGCAGACCCAGTCCTCTTGGTCCGTGTGGACAAAGTAGCTCACCCCGGCTATTTCCACAATGCGACCATGGGCCCCCTGGATTCCCAAGCCTCGCAAGTAGACGTTCCTGTCCCACGAACATTGAATAGGATTGCGGGACGAGTCAAAAGAAAGTGAAGGCTACAGGCTCCCGCGATGATACGACAACAACAACAACAACAACTTTATTGACTTTATCTTCGACATGAAGATTTCAATACCAAAACAGTCAATACAATGACAAATGAAACAAAGCAAAATAAAAGTTAAGTAAGAAAAAAAAGGAACAACAACTATATATTGAATATTATCATAAAAGAAAGATTACTTGGCCATGAACGACTTCTACGCTACTGGTATGGTAAGAAAGTTTAATTAGAGTTCGGATTTATAACAATTTAGAATATTTTAAATGTAAGAGGCACTAAGATTTATGATGTTTTCATCGCTCATAGACATGATATATAAAAATGACACGACAAAGGTCGAGTATCACATTCCGCTTTCCTGGTCGACCAGGATAAGTCGGCGGAGGAGAGTGACTGAGATGCTGAATGTTCGAAAAGTTGACTAACGCCCCCAGGACTAACGCTATCCCCTGGATAAATCTCTATCCACTAATTAACGCAATTGCTTCTTCTTATTCGCTTGATAGTGATTTCCGGTGGGTAGTGCTATCCAGGCTATGGAACTTCAGCACCTTGTTTGGATGATCGCTAGACAGGACCTCAAAACAACGATATAGACTGGACTATAGATTGGACCAATCAGAGTAGCTCCCAAGGACCTCTCGCGACTTCGTCGCCCGCGGTCGGCGAAAAAAGGCTCGCTCCGCTCGCCAAGAGGTCGACTTGTAACAAGTCTAAGCAACGATACTGTGTATCCCACAAGAGTGTATACGTGTATACTTTCCTGGCTCTCGTCACTCACAGTGAGGTTGCCGCATTCCAGCTTAATGATACCAGCATGGGGGCTTCTGCAGAGGAAAGTGGCCTCAAAAAACACTTATAACGCCATAAACTTGCAACAGTCAAGTCCATGAATCCGCTAAACGAACCGCGCGGCCGTTGATGTGCATGACCTTCTTCACATTTTACAAACATAATATATAGATTTAGCCGGGGCTAAAAGCGAAGCTCTCAATAATATTTATAGTTTGCTCAAACAAAATAAAAAATCATGTTATGCTAGACGGCGAAGGCAACGAGAACGGTGAAAAAACAACAATAGGTCTAATCAACAAAAAAAAACAACAACTTTGCACAAGCAGCACCCTTTTGTTTCTACATTTCTTTGCCCTTGTTTTGTACGACCACGTGAAACTTCCAGAAACTTCCTAATTACGCGTTTTATGGAGGAAATGTCGTACCTGTTGTTGTTCACTTTTTTTCACTCGCTCATTTGCACCTTGGTCGCCGCGAGGATTTCTCAGTTTCTCACCGCCGCTAAAAAATTTTCATGTTTTTTTTCCAACAAATAGCCCCTTATCTTCTACTCTGGCTCTCTGTAGCTCTTTTTCTCGTTGAGCTCCGCTGGCCTGTCGCCAACTTTATTTTTTCTCTATATTCCAAATTTGTGGATATGAAAGTGAATCTAACCTATATACTTTAGACAACAAGGATACAGAAACAATTTCCGCTTTCCGTTTTCGTCTTTATTGACTCTGTTGTTGTCTCTGCTTCACAAGACGCGGGCGGCTATGCGATTTCCCTCCAAAATAACCTCGAATTGCATTTGGGTTGCCATACCTGTTGGTTGAGTTATTTTACATTGGTATGCCTGTGGTGCGGACGGACGGTCGGTCGGGCGTACGGTCACGTGATTATCAAATTTTCTTACCCATGGTGTTCCGCTTCGCGCACTGCGCGCGCGTGGACCTCTGCTATGACGCAAATGTGACGCAGGTATTTCCATGGCGACTCCTTATATGAAAAAAGTAAGCGTTTCTGACCATTTATAGCCAAAAATCCATTTTTGCACTTACTCAGGACGCAAACGGTTATATCTTACAGGAAATTAAATGACTGGAAGAGCATGATAACTACTCATTCAAACGTACGTAATCAAGGCACATGTACAGTAATGTGCTTTTTTCATCACAGCTTACCATTAATGACGATGTGCATTTAGGTAGCTATAACTGATCAGAACAACGTTGGCCATGCAGCCAATCTAGTTAATCGCGCGCTGTTTTTATTTTATGCTACTCAATGAACTTTATGATTTTATTTCATTTATTTATTTTTAATAGCCAACCACACGCGTATAGGAGTATAACGAGAATACACACTTCCTCGTTCAGAGCACTAAGCCAACATACGTGTATTGTTCCAAAAAGTAGAAATGCTGTAGAAAATAATCCCAGGCCAGATCGCATCTCCAGTCTTTATTTAAAGTATACTATGATGCTGACAATGAAGCGAGTCACGCGGAAGTGGAAAAATAGCGACTGGTATTTTTCGTTCGATCTAATATAGCGGATCGAAGGATAGCAGATTCGACTCGCTGTGTAGAGTCCTCGATGAGAGTTTTTTGCCCGATTTTTTAATTGATATATACTTATTGTCTTCATCATGCCTGGAAATTATTTGTAGTAAAGCCGTTTTTTAAACTACTCTGGATCGATTGATAAGATGTATCAAGGATATCATACTTTATTCTCTGTTTTCACTATCACACCATCAAAAATTAAAATCGAAACCATTCAATACAGAAAGTCCAGAATCTGGGAAATGAAAGGAGATAAATATGCAAAAGGCCTCGCCAAGAATCAGGTCGGTGCGGTATTTCATATGAAGGAAACTAGGGAAAACGTTTTACCCAAATGTATAAGGCTTTGAATGGAGACGCCACGTTGGTGTCCCTTTGAGGGGGCTTTCATCATCCCGAGTCTAAACAGTCTTCTACCAACTAATCTCAGCAAACAAATTATTTCAGTCTAGTTTGTAGAAATCTCTTACCCAGATCTCACTCTGTCTTACGCTGAAAAGATTTGGGTAGGAGATTACTATACGATAATTACTATACTGAAATACTTCGCTTTGCTGAAAGCACGGAAATAATAAACGCGAGGTCAAACTTACGACAAGTACCTTACATTTATGTGCCGAACAAGGAACAAAACAGAACATTTACTGCAGAGCAAAATTTTATTAACACAAAAGTCGAGATTGCACATGTTTGTCAAGCTGGGAAAACAACTTGAAAAACAGAACTACTTAAATTCTAAAATAAAAGTAATTTTATATCATGCCACGAGAAATCACAAAAAATGTTATGAAAATCACTCAATAGCGACGTAAGAGAAATGCATGATTATACGCACGTTTGTTGACTAGTTTCGATTCGGCTGTTACTGTTTTGGGACAAGCCTTTGGCGCAAATTTTTCTGGGATTGTCGGGTGGACAACAGCTAAGGCACTGATTATTTTAGGTTTCCTTAAGATACCATTAACTAATCGCAGCTAACGTCTATCCACCCAAACGTTCCAACCTAAAAATGTTTGTACCCACTCTCCTCGTACTTTATGGAGTGGCGAATTATTCCTGCGTCCCTGCCCATGAATCCCTTTCGCCTATTAAATACTTTCCTACTCAATGTTTCTAAATTCAAAAATACAAAGCGACTGGCATATTCTTAGTGCACAAACTAAGCCCTTAGTGACAAGTTTTAACCTTACATTAAAGAAGAAGCAACAACTCATACAACTATAATATAGTCAGATCTCACTCATGTGCATCGTAATCTACAGAGAAGAAACAAAGAAGAGCAGATGAGTTTTTGTAATAAGCTTACTAAAAAAAATATGACAATAAATAATAGTGACAATGATAATGATAATGATAATAATAATAATAATAATAATAATAATAATAATAATAATAATAATAATTTCAGTGCTAAAAAATGCTAATGATGATGATAATAATAAGGATAATAATAATGAAGAAATACCACATCCATGCTGAAAATAACTTAAGGGAGCTATTAACTTAACAGGCGGTAGGGTATTCGTTACATTAAATTGAAACAGGAAGCAAATGACACCCTGTAAAGAGAGAGACGGTTTGGCAATACGCTCGAAAGAAGTCGAAGTATGATGATGATGCTGATGATTTTCATTCAGATTGATAACATATCATAAAGATTTTTGCAGGGACTGATCAAACAACGTGAAATAGAGTTTAGTTGCGATATTTCGAATGGCCAAAACCATTCATACTGCAGTTTCAGAACACTTTCTAACCAGTAATCATTCCGACAATCATATGCTTTTGATTCCTATTGAAAAACTTTAAAATGGGCGTTATTCTTTTGTAAAGTAGCCGCCCCATACCACGTCATACTATATGTAATTTGCGGTCATTATTTTACGTCATATATATTTCTGTAAATTCGTGATATCTCAATAAACCTTATGAAGACTGCTATTGGCCAGTCGAAATATCGCAACTAAACTTTATTTCACGTTGTTTGATCAGTCCCTGCAAAAGTCTTCTTGACTGTAACGTTTTCAATTTGATCTATTTTGACTGATCACGATCTTTATGGATCCGACGTTGAGCAAGATTGATCGTACACGGTTTTTGCAGTGGTTTTTTACCTTAACTTTGCAATATATCATAATTACTCACCTCACTTTCCACAGTAACGCAAATGGCAAGCTGGTGGCCTCTTGAATTCGTAGACGAAGAATCCACCACAGTTGCGGACACGGATAAAAGTCTGCCAGCGGCAGCAATCATCACGCCTACTACGACCGACCATCCTATACCAGTGAAAACAAACTTTGACAGTGCTGATTTGACCAGCGGAAGGATGACGTCCTGAAAGCCAACCTGGTGCATGGGTTCCACAGCGGTTACGTGGGACACATGAGGTGGGCATCTGGTTTCCTGATCTTCCTGTTAATCTGTACCATTTGGTTTTTAGTACATTGTCACATCTGAAAGGCGCCCTGTTGTATCCCTGTGCTCTTGTTGCGTCGTTGAGCCATTGATAGTTTCTACATTCTTTAAATAAAGATTGACTAAGGAATTAATTAAAATAGAAATAGGATGACCAGTCGTGTAAGTAGCTGCTGCAGTGTTTTTATCTTTCTTTCTTTATGTTTTTAAACCAAATTAACACGACATGTCAGTTAAAAATTGGCAACAAAAAATGGTAAACAAAGAGCTCAAATTCTAGAACAAATCAGGCAAGTGGGTTTCTTCTTGTTTTTTATTAACTTTACAGAGAGGTTCTCTTTGGGTGGACTGTCTCTTGAGGTTCGCATGCTTCTTTCTAGTCCTGCACTATCGCATCTCTTCTACATCTTATTTTTGCTACTTTTTAACATTCTTGTTTCCGTTGATGGTAACTTTTTTTTAGTTTTTGTGTTGACAACAGCCTTAGTTTCATGATTGTATGCGACAAAAATTGAGTCTTAAAAATATATTTCATCAAATTAAAATCTCCTGCATTTCGTCGCTTTTGAAGTAATGACGATCGTCAATTTCACATATAAAAAGTGGCATGGATCTCTGCAAACATAAAGAAACTATTTTTTTAGTATAAAATAAAGGGAAGAAAAGTCGTCTATAGAGCATATTCATTCCCCTTGTTCGGTGAACAGGGATGGCGAAGTGTTAAGAGCACTTGCATGCCTCCCACCCTGTGACGTGTGGCTTGGGACTAAATCCAGGCGTCGACGCCATACGTGGGCTGAGTTTATTGTTGGTTCTCTCCCTTGTTCCAAGAGGTTTTTCTCCGGGTGCTAAGGTTTTCCCCTCTCCCCTAAACCCAACATTTCCAAATTCTAATTCCACCAAGAATCAGGTTGACAAAGAAACACTATGTAAATGTGCTTCTTCTAAGTCGGTTATAATTAATCAATTAATTAATTTATTTATTTGTTTAACTGATATCGTTAATTAGTGTGAAAGTATTACCTGGTGGTGGGAGCGGTGCGGCAGCTGTAAAAGAAAAAAACAAGTAAGAAAAAATATGTGTTAAGATGAGCTTTTGTGGAATCTAATTCTCAAGGGGTCAGGTGGAAAACCGCCAGAACTGCTAAAATCTGGCGTTAAAATAAAAGGTGTCACTGGGCTGAGCTTCATACGTTAAAATTTAGGTTATTTATACCACCTTTTTTTGTCTCATATGTTTGATCATTCAACTTAAAGTTGTAGTTCAAGTGATTTCTCCCAAGCGTTTGAACCTCCTGTTAAGCGTTAAATTATAGAAATGTAGGAAAAACCCCTCCCTGAACATAAGAACCTAGAATAAACTGAAGGCAAGAAAACAAACAAACAATTTTAAAGCTTTCAATTAATAATCTTTTTATGTAATCCATTATTTTATCCTTTATTCCTAACCTGAATTTCCACAGTAACGCAAATGGCAAGCTGGTGGCTTCTTGAATTCGTAGACGAAGAATCCACCACAGTTGCGGACACGGATAAAAGTCTGCCAGCGGCAGCAATCATCACGCCTACTACGACCGACCATCCTATACCAGTGAAAACAAACTTTGACAGTGCTGATTTGACCAGCGGAAGGATGACGTCCTGAAAGCCAACCTGGTGCATGGGTTCCACAGCGGTTACGTGGGACACATGAGGTGGGCATCTGGTTTCCTGATCTTCCTGTTAATCTGTACCATTTGGTTTTTAGTACATTATCACATCTGAAAGGCGCCCTATTGTTTCCCTGTGCTCTTGTTGCGTCGTTGAGCCATTGATAGTTTCTACATTCTTTAAATAAAGATTGACCAAGGAATTAAAAGAAATAGAAAATAGGATGACCAGTCGTGTAAGTAGCTGCAGGTTTTTTTTCTTTCTTTCTTTATGTTTTTAAAGCAAATTAACATGACATGTCAGTTAAAAATTGGCAACACAAAATCGTAAACAAAGAACTCAAATCCTAGAACAAATCAGGCAAGTGGGTTTCTTCTCGTTTTTTATTAACTTTACAAAGAGGTTCTCTTTGGGTGGACTGTCTCTTGAGGTTTGCATGCCTCTTTCTAGCCCTGCACCATCCCACTTCTTCTACATCTTCTTTTTGCTACTTTTTAATATTGTTGTTTCCGTTGACGGTAATTTTTTTTTGTTTTCTTTTAGTGTTTGTGTTCACAACAGCCTTAGTTTCATGTTTGTATGCGACGAAAATTGAGTCTTAAAAATATATTTCATCAAATTAAAATCTCCTGCATTTCGTCGCCTTTGAAGTAATGACGATCGTCAATTTCACATATAAAAGGTGGCATGGATCTCTGCAGACATAAAGAACCTATTTTTTTAGTATAAACTAAAGGGAAAAAAGTCGTCTATAGACCACATTCATTCCCCTTGTTCGGTGAGCAGGGATGGCGAAGTGTTGAGAGCACTTGCATGCCTCCCACCTTGTGATGTATAGCTCGGAACTAAATCCAGGCGTCGACGACATACGTGGGTTGACTTTATTGTTGGTTCTCTCCCTTGTTCCAAGAGGTTTTTCTCCAGGTGCTAAGGTTTTCTCCTCTCCCCTAAACCCAACATTTCCAAATTCTAATTCCACCAAGAATCAGGTTGACAAAGAAACACTATGTAAATGGGCTTCTTCTACATCGGTTATCATTACTTAATTAATTAATTAATTTATTTATTTGTTTAACTGATATCGTTAATAAGAGTGAAAGTATTACCTGGTGGTGGGAGCGGTGCGGCAGCTGTAAAAGAAAAAAACAAGTAAGAAAAAATATGTGTTAAGATGAGCTTTTGTGGAATCTAATTCTCAAGGGGTCAGGTGGAAAAACGCCAGAACTGCTAAAATCTGGCGTTAAAATAAACGGTGTCACTGGGCTGAACTGCATACGTTAAAATTTAGGTTATTTATACCACCTTTTTTGGTCTCATATGTTTGATCATTGAACTTAAAGTTGTAGTTCAAGTGATTTCTCCTAAGCGTTTGAACCTCCTGTTAAGGTGATTCCCTAGTAACAGAACGTAACATAGATTGTAGATGAAACTTGCTACACTGATGTAACAAGTCAAGAAGATAAAAAAAAAGTAATAAAAAGTGGGGGTCACCGTGCTCGTTTTGACGTCACAATGCTGACAAATACGGCTATTTAGGACCCTTTTACAAAAACCGCGGGCAGCCCAAAACTAGACAAAAAGGAGAGTTTTTTTCAATAATGAATGTGGTATCACACAGAATTTGACTTTAATGTATTGTTTATCCAATTACGTACCAGAAAAATGCCTTTTAATGCCCTTGTTTTCACTTTACGCTACAAAGTAGAATTAAATTGGACACGCGCTATTCGACCCGTGATAGCTCAATCCGTACAATTTAGTAAAATTGCCAAAAAATTGAACATAGATTTGTGCCAATTTTTTTCTCATCGAAAGGAAGCACTGTCCTTATTAAAATCATGAAATAAAAAGTGGGGGTCACCGTACTCGTTTTTGCGGTAGAGCTGCAGAAAGTGCGCACCAAATGCATTTTCCCCGATTTTTGAGAGATGACTAGGGCGAGTGTCAATAGAATGTATGTGAAAGGGAGAAGAAAGCATTAAAAAATCCGTTTTTACAGAATTTACATCGAGATATCACATTTAGGACACAATTTGATAAAGAAAGCGTTTAAATGAAAATCAAAGTGAGTAACATCTACTATCGAGGTTCTCCGAGAGGAAGTCGAACTCAGCAACTCGCGTACTGCTTACGTTATGCACATTTCCCAACACATTGAGTCTCACCTCGGCAAGAAACAACAGCAAGCAAAAATTCCAATAGCATTTCTCTTCAGTCAACTTCATTTTAATAATGTCACTTCACATGCTCTTTTTTACGGCGGCCATCTTGTTATGCGCAGTAAGAGATGCGCAGTGCAAAACCAGGAAATCACCTTAAGTGTTAAATTATAGAAATGCAGGAAAAACCCCTCCCTGAACATAAGAACCTAGAATAAACTGAAGGCAAGAAAACAAACAAACAATTTTAAAGCTTTCAATTAATAATCTTTTTATGTAATCCATTATTTTATCCTTTATTCCTAACCTGAATTTCCACAGTAACGCAAATGGCAAGCGGGTGGCTTCTTGAATTCGTAGACGAAGAATCCACCACAGTTGCGGACACGGATGAAAGTCTGCCAGCGACAGCAATCATCACGCCTACTACGACCGACCATCCTATACCAGTGAAAACAAACTTTGATAGTGCTGATTTGACCAGCGGAAGGATGACGTCCTGAAATCCAACCTGGTGCATGGGTTCCACAGCGGTTACGTGGGACACATGAGGAGGGCATCTGGTTTCCTGATCTTCCTGTTAATCTGTACCATTTGGTTTTTAGTACATTATCACATCTGAAAGGCGCCCTGTTGTTTCCCTGTGCTCTTGTTGCGTCGTTGAGCCATTGATAGTTTCTACATTCTTTAAGTGAAGGTTAATCGTTAATTCCTGATATGTACCTATTTTAAATAGTATTTTTAATTTATAAGTTTAACAGAATTTATGTAGTTTGTTTTGTACAAGGAACACGAGATCTATAAACTATTAAATTCAGCACAATATACCATGCTGGAAATAATAATTATTGTTTTTATTTACTTAAGCTGAGTAACGAAGTCTTTACTCCATATAATCTCGGGATGTATGTTTGAAATAAGTAGGGACCCTGCAATAATTATCAGGAGTAGGGATATAAGTTGAGAAAGGGGGCAGAGTGTAAAGTAATAGACCAAGAGAGAATGGCAGTGTCTAAATTATTCAGTGGACTCGGGTCAAGTCCCTCTCAAAAGTAAATCGGAAAGGTCAAGCTAAGTATATGCTAAGTTGGAGTATTTTTTCCCAAAGAAATATTCGGTAAGTGGTTAGCCAATAAGAGACTTCGACGCTTTAGGACATGCGCACATGATAATCAGGTTTGGGAAGCCATAAGGATGGCGCCAAAGAAGGGAAAGAAGAAAAGAATGACTCTAACATCAATGGGGCAAACTCTAATCCCTTTAGAGATTGATATCTTCTTGTAGGGTTAGGGTTAGGGTTAGGGTCAGGGTCCTCAAAATGACTACAAATGACGGCCAAAGAAGACATGACGATAATGGAGGTTCGAAGCCAGTCCCTTCGGCTCCGAAGGTTACGCTTTGCCGCACGTACGAGAACAATAGAATGACCTTACTTGCCATCATTCTTATGCCGATGCCGGCATAAAGCATTCTGGCTATAAGCCAGTAAGCTCAAAAATCAAGTCATGAGTTTGTCTGCTCCACGGCCGTTTTTGTGTCGTCACGCAAAGCTCCTCACGAGTGGGATATTCACGGTATACCACGAGAAAGCATCGCACAACTAATTTATCCTATGCCAGTCAACATGGCGACGTAAAATAAGAAAACTCGACATCACAGTCATCACAGGTAGATTCCAAGAAAGTCACCTTTAATCCTACATGTAGTTATAAACAACATGTGCACATGCAGCCTGTCAATGAATAAAGTTCATTTTCACGTCTGTCTACTTAATACCTGCATTGTAAAGGGCACATCGCGACCATTGAGGTCAACAAAAATTTTCCCGTCCGGGTAGGGATTAGTGTTTTGCCGTTTTTTGCCGTGATACTTCTAAATGAAGCAGCTCCAAAAAAATTCTTTTTCGGCCCCTCGGGTCTCAGTTTGGTCTAAAACTAAGGGAGGGGAGGAGGCAGGCGCCCCGGGCCCCTCCCCTGGATCCGCCACTGGAGGTGATTTTAAAGGCGGACCAGAGGTGACAAGATTTCAGGTAGTATCGTTCGCAATTTCTGCAAACTTTGGTTTTAATCTTTCCGTGAAAGTCCACGCACGTGAAAATCCACTCAAAAATGGCGAGTTTTTGGTTGGTTTTTAGCGGGAAAACCCCAGGGAAATCCGAAAAGCTGGCATTAATCGAAGGTAGATCTTGAATTGAATATTTCTGGTTATTCATATTCCGGTGGTACCCATTGAGAATTGGTTACAAGTAACTCACAATCAGAGACAAAAATCTCTCAGAGTCGCTGTAGTCCTATTTTTCCGCCATATGGTGGCTAGAATGCGGCTCTAGCCTGTTGAAATTCCCGTCTACGCGACGAGACAGCTGTTGAATTTTTCTGATGGGATTTCAGTTAGGCTTGTTATTTCGAAGTGCAAGTGTGGATCCTTCTCTGTCTTGGCAAAACTGGCTAAGCGGTTTGTTTTTGTTGTTCTCGGTTCGCAAATTACTAAACTTCTTTGTGCGTAGTCTGGTTGATTTCCTTTTGTATAACCTTTGGAACTTTGACTTCTAATGAAATCCGAATGCTAGTCATTAAACTCGGGTTTTATAGTGTTGTTTACAAAATTTCTGCTGAAACCAGATTTGGTAGAATGAAAAGAATCAGCAGTCAATCTACTTATATATGGATCAACGTTATTAATAAAAAATACGTAATATTTTTTCACAATAATTAAAATTGAGAAAATGCATGTTCGGTTACAGGATCTTGTCCGGAAGCGTCTTTCTAAGATGTTCATAATACTTACAATAAAAAAGGAATGGTCTTTTATCTTCAACAATGAAGAGAGATATCTTTGATTTTCTGGGGTCATCGGGATCGTAAAACGTCAACTTTCAATTCGTCACAGGTGATTCCCTATACGGAATTTTGATTTTTTTTGTGTGTGTTGAAGAATTTTTACATGACCAAGGGGGGAGGGGGTGTACTTAAATTATCGGCTTTAACATGAGGGCGGGGGGAGGGTAAGAAGTTTGTACAGGGGGTTCAAGTTAAGTTTTAGCCGTATTTTGCTCATTTGAGAGTCCCCCCCTCCTCATAATTATTGCAAGGACCCTAACAAGTTTGAATCTTCTTGACATGTTATCCTCTTTCCTTTTAATTGATTTCCTTTTTTAATTCCTTCCTTACCTGGAGGTGGTGTTCTCTCTGAAAATAAATAAGAAAATATATAAATAAATAAAAATATCTGATAATAAAAGTTGCATGATACAACAATATAAAATTGGTAAATGCAATTCACAAATCACTCTGCCCTTAGTTTTGCGAGAACCATTCAGTTTTACATATTTTCCTGTTAGGAATTATGGCTTTGGAATACCGAATGTCTTGGTAAAACAGAAATAATAATAATAATAATAATAATAATAATAATAATAATAATTTAATATTGAACTTTAAAAAATATGTACATAATTTACAAAAATATTTGAAGAATTAATAATAATAATAAGTAATGGTAACAGGACTGAGTGGAGTCCAATTCGGTCTGTAATCATACGAGTGATTAACAAAATCGGACGACCGCGTAGCGGGAGTCCGATTTGTTTAATCACGAGTATGATTACAGACTGAATTGGACTCCACTCAGTCCTGTTACCAATTAATCATAACTTTAACAAAATTTGTGATACAACAGGCTATTTTTTACACCAAAACACAAAAAATTCGAAATTTTGTTTTGCTAGCAGTGAAAAAAAAGCCAGTTAAGCGCGCGCGTGATGGCGCGTACTGTCCAATTACTTAGGCATGACGCGTACTGTCCTATTAAACTGTCCAATTAAGGCTGAAATCGGGGCAGTTGAGAGCCAATCAGATTTGACAATTTTGTTATAGTTATGATTATAACAATAATAATAATAACAATAATGGGATTATCGTGCTTCAATTTTATCGGTTTGTAAGGGAATGAAATTAATTCAATAGTCAATATGAGAGATGTGCAAAAGGTGATTGAAAAATTGAGTAATGGTGATGAAATTGATTTGGCAAATACTTAAACATTATTGGACCCCGCAGAGAACCTTTCCGGAAAATAAAAAGCATTAAAGTTCACAAAATATTGGATATTTTGCGATGTTGGTAGGAGGTAAGGAATACCCGACACCGACCCCTCCCCCTCCCCCCCCTTTACCCTTGTCCACCATTCCCAACGAGACCTTTTACTCTTTTTACTTACTTTCGCATTCTTTCTTGTACAGAAGATTCGCCTGCTTGGCATCTATTGCACTCAAACCTCTTCGCTGACCAATGATGACCTAAAAATATTGAAATTATTTAAAACTTGTTGTCGGAGATTAGGTAAATAAACGTAAGTGGGTCGATTAGGGGATGCATGAGTTTCAGATACCGAAGGCAGCTTTTAAAATGTCATTTTAATCACGAGTTGGCATAGTGGCAAGGAAAAGGTAACAATGTCAGGAAATTTTTACTAATCAGTATTCAAGATGCATTGCATTGAAGTGTGGTGGCAGTATAATGTGTACCTAGTCGGACGTTCAGAGCTCATGGCTAGTTTGTAAATAGCAATGGTTATGAAGCAACTTCAGACTTTTTGTTATATCTTTTAGTAAGCTATTTTGGACTTGACCGTGTACAATGTCTAACTGACACGAAAAAATTACTCAACTCTGATTGGCTGAGAAAGGAGTGCAGTTCTCCTGTAACACGAGTGCAAATTTGTAACACGAGTGCAAATTACAAATGGTTTCTGATTCGCTCAAAACACAGACGAAACCAACGAGAACCAATCAGATTTGAGATGTTTTGACAACAAAATTTAAGAAAATGGCCCTGGTTTTCAGCAAACAACGATTTGATTTTTTAGCCAAACAACAATAGAACAGTTAAAAAAGTATTCCAAAAACCCGAACAAAGTAAAAAGTACGTCTTTCTGGCTAAATTAGAGAAAAATACTGTCAACAAAATAGAGGAAAATGAGGCAGAGAATCTAAACTTGCTACCAAAGGCAGACTACGGTGAAGTCAAAAAAAAAAAAACAAACAAAAACGGTGACAACCACATGCAAGTGATGACAGCTACACTTGTTAGGCATTAAATGAACAAAGATACAAGTTTTCCATCATATTAAACAACAGGGATTTCAAGCCACGTGTGTTGTCCTTTGGAGGAGAAAGGTGTCCGGTTGCTCTCTTTAAGTTTTTTGTCGAGCGGAGACCTCTATGAAAACATGCGATGGTCTGTTTCTTTCTACCACAGTAGCAAACGAAACCGAAAATTTAAAGACAAATATCTGGTTCAAACTAAACCAAAGGGCTAAAATACCATAAGTAACATAATGAAAATAATCCATAGCTCGTACTAGCCTTGAGGTAAGTGAGAAAAAAGTTTACGCATCATAGTGCAAGAAAAGCAACAGTCAGCAAGCTGAAGAAAGCAAACAAAAATTCACGCACAGATATCGCAAAAGTCACAGACCACAGAAGTATAAATTTCCTCAACGACTACGACGAAGCCGACGAAGATGAGCGACGACGACTCTCTAGTGCTATATCCAAATGAAATTATGAGAAAAAGCAAATATTGGTAGTTTCCAACATCACACCAACAGTGACTACACTCGCCCATCGATGGCAGCGTCGAAAGAAAACAAATTGCCTCCTTCATTTTCGGGTTTTAAATCTCAAAGATTTCTTCATGAATCCAGTCATGATGGGGTCTCAGGAACAGACAATGATGAACAGTCGTAAAACAACTCAGCAAGTGTCTTTCATCTTTGGCTGCTCGAAGCGTTTTCCTGATTTCAAAACGGCAATATACTTCTTGTATCTAAACGCCGAGCTTTCATAATCGAGGACTGATGATTCTAAAAACACTAACTTTTGCTGATTATTGTAAACGAAGTTATCTTTAACAGGCTGGTGTAAAATTGATCCTTGCACTATTCCATGTTCTTAGCTGAATGATTTTTAAAGCGTTGGTCTTGAAAAAGTTTGAATTTGACAAAGGTAGTAGTCTGTTTCAGCCAATCAGTTGAATGAACTAAAAGCACACGCGCTGTCACAATTTGTTGTTGAAGTTATGTTTTTCGTGTATATCATTAATAAGTAATCACACGATTTTTCTCGTGGATTTGGAATAAATAAGCACTTGTAAATTTTTTAAAGACCTCAAAGTGCACTCGCCGTTCGGGCTCGTGCACTTTTGTTGGTCTTTGAAAAATTTACTCTTGCCTATTTATTACAAATTGCACTCGAAATCATGTGATTACCTATACAAATAGCATTCCTACCTTTTTTAACTTAGTGACCATTAGAAACGTTGCATTAACTCATATATTCAGTCACAATTTGTCAACCGCTAAAAAAGGATTGTGCACGGTAAGAAAGATCCCAACATAAACTAAAGCACCGTCGTTGTCATCTTTTTTGTCTCCCCTTCAAACTATGACAAGATGAAGTCTCTTGAAAAAAGCCCAACGATATTTTACTGTAAAAGCTCCAGTTATACATTCTTAGACGAAAAAATATTGTTCAAAATTTAGCTTTATTGTAGGTGAGAGAACAACCCGGGCGAGGTGATACGTGCCTAATGAATGGTACATGATATTCAATAAAAGAAGGAGGGCGCCTTCTCAATTTAAACTGCATTTTTTTTCCTTTTTCTGTTTGGTCATCCTAGGGTGCGCCTTTAAGTTACCTCTATGGCTCACTCTCCTCCGCGGAGGCCTTTTTCTAACGTAGGAAGATTGGAAAGGGAGAAGAAGAACGCGCGCGGCGGATAATGCAAAGTGGAAAGAGCACTTCCCCGCGCGCTTACCATTTTTTTTCAGTTGAAATCCCAGCAGGAGCCTCTGCGGAGGAGAGTGTCTATGGCTGATAAAAACTCAACGGAACATACCCCTGTTCTCTTAACCACAATAGTGGGCTGTCCATTATTGCTGAATGCTTTCTTTCCATAATGCATCAAGCTTCCGTAATCGTATGGTGTTCCAAGTGAGTCAATAATAGACCTTGGATACTTGTTAAAGTTATGTCTCCTATCTAAAAGAAGTCATACAAATGAGTCAAGAATTTTATGGGATGAAACTAAGCTAACGTAAACTTTTTACGCTAACATGAGACCATCGGCGTACGGGAAAAATTTTGTTGGGGGGCCTGAACATAATTTGCCCGAATGAAACTTGTTGGTCACAGACATAAATCAACATGGCCGCCAACTCATACGCAGTTCCAGTCCCAGTGCGGTCTTGATTATCACTCCCAGTCCCTCGGTAGAACTCAATGTTCTAACTCCGAGTAATAACAGCCATCCCGTGAAGTAGTACAGAGATCAGTTAGAAGATGCAGCCCCCCCAGCCCCCCCGTTCCGTACGCTGATGCATGAGACTTTTGGTTTAATTTGTTGATTATTCATGTAAATAGGATATCTCCGATCCAGTTATCAAAATGTTTAAACTTACCTGAAGGGATATTTGCCCATACTATTGTCACAAAGTTATCCCTGTCAGGACGGGACTGTTCGTGAAAGAAACCAAGGGCGTGACCTTCGAAGAAATCAATCAGGCAATCAATCAATCAATCATCAAGAACCCAACCCATTTTAATTAGAAATTAAATTTCTACCCCTAAATTAACAATTTAACCCTATTCAGACCCGGCTTTTTTTTTTCAGCTTCCTGTGACCGGAGGGGTTGGGGAGACCCCCTCTATAACTTTACGCCCGCTCATGATACGGCCACCAAATTACACAAAATAATGTGCTCATCATTTCCAACCATCTAGGTATAACTTGATTGACACAATGACGTATTTTGAAGTCATCATCACGTCATATTGTTGAATTTCTTGGCAGAAGCCTAACTTCATCAGTTTTTCCTCTTAAAGTAACCATAAAGTAAAAAATACCTAAATAGCAAGCTGTCTGACAAAATCATAAAGTTGGCTAACACATTAATAATCTTTAACAATAGCAATGGTGTCATGATGACATCATTTACTATTAAAGAAGGAACTGGAACCATCCGCCCTCTTGGATCTGCCAATTTGAATTGATTAAATGTATTCTATTTTACTTAACCCGTATAAATCGAGGTAATCGTACTTAGGAAGCAAAAAATGTGGAAGTTAAGAAATTGTAAGGGAAATGACCATTGTTGAAAATGGAACCCAGCATCTGCCATTTGGTCCTTTTAAATTCATGTTTTTTTCTCAAAGCTACAACTGAACTGGTATGGAGAATTAGGTGGCGGAAATGAGACCGCATATGGTAAGTTAAAGAGAAGAAGAAACTAAATGAGACACGACTCAAAAAGGAAGTCGTTGCTCTTCCGTCCCCTGATGCATAAAACTCCCTGGCTCATAAATAAAAAAAAGTCCCTTGAACGATGATGGGAAAGCATTCTGCTTGTTCATTCTTTTGACTGACGCTCTTGAACTCAATATTTTCTTTATTCGGTTAATGTGGCTTTATCTAATGCGACTACTAAAAGTGATGACACTTACCGATCTCATGAGCAACAATTCCCCTGGTCCAGCACCCGAAAGCAAGATTAATATCTTGTCGCTTTCCAGTTCTTCCCACAAAAGAAGAACACCTGGAAAATGAAAGAATGAATGAATGGGTGGGTGGGTGGTTGAGTGGTTGACTGAGTGAGTGGTTGAGTGAGTGGTTGAGTGAGTGAGTGAGTGGTTGATTGAGTGGTGGTGGTGTGAGTGAGTGGTGGTGGTGAGTGAGTGAGTGAGTGGTGGTGGTGAGTGGTGAGTGAGTGAGGTGGTGGTGGTGAGTGAGTGGTGGTGGTGAGGTGAGTGGTGGTGGTGAGGTGGTGGTGAGTGAGTGGTGGTGGTGGTGGTGGTGAGTGAGTGAGTGAGGTGGTGAGGAGGTGGTGAGTGAGTGGTGAGTGAGTGGTGGTGGAGTGAGTGAGTGAGTGAGTGAGTGAGTGAGTGAGTGAGTGAGTGGTGGTGGTGAGTGGTGGAGGAGGTGAGTGAGAGTGAGTGACTGTGAGTGAGTGAGTGAGTGGTGGTGGTGGTGGTGGTGAGTGAGTGAGTGAGTGAGTGAGTGAGTGATGAGTGAGTGAGTGAGTGAGTGAGTGAGTGAGTGTGTGAGGAAGTGAGTGGTGAGAGTGAGTGAGTGAGTGTTGGTGAGTGAGTGAGGAGGTGGTGAGTGGTGGTGAGTGAGTGAGTGAGGTGGAGGAGTGAGTGAGTGGAGTGAGTGAGTGAGTGAGTGAGTGAGAGAGAGAGAGAGAGTGAGTGGTGGAGTGAGTGAGTGGTGGAGTGAGTGAGTGAGTGAGTGAGTGAGTGAGTGAGTGAGTGAGTGAGTGAGTGAGTGAGTGAGTGAGTGAGTGAGTGAGTGAGTGAGTGCCCTCGCATAAGACAAAACTGGAGGTCAAAGAGAGGGTTTCGCAGGGGAACATTGTGTCCAACAGAGTTGATGATGAAACAGCTGAACTTTCAGGGTGCCTTAATTGGAGCAATAAATGGAAATCGGCCCCAACCTACGCAATCTGCGCACTGAACGAAATATATCAGCAACTCCTTAGAACAAAGCACGGGAGGCGATGATGCGCTCTTCGACTGAGAAGACCTGCAGAAAATGTCACAAGTTTCCCGAAACAGTAGAGCTGGTTGTCCAGAGCTAGCGCAAAGACTGACAATACCGGCCTTTACAGATATAATGATGCACTAAAATGGATTTTACATGAGTTACTCATAGCCCATAAACTGAGTGAGAAGCCACTTCTACTGAGACAGGAGCCTCGCAGTTTCTATGTCAATAAAAGAGAGATTAAGAATCACATTTACGCCAAAAGGCAAACGTGAATTTGTACCACATGACGAAATTTTCTTCTTAATTGTCGTTTGTTGTTTATTACTTCCACTCAAAACTAAGTAGTTTAACACCAGTTTTATCCATAAGCATTGTTCTGGACAGTTTTTATCTTCTTATTTTCTATTGTGAGAAATTCTCAACTTAAACCTGACGTTTACCGTTTGCCGTAAACCTGACTCTTAATCTCTCTAACGATGTGGAAATAACGTGGGATTGTTCTATTTAATAGCAACTGAAGCTCGCCCAGAGAGTGCACGAAATCGCCCAGATCTCGTAGTAACGGATAAGACTGTGGTGAAAAAGATCAACATAATTGAGATGGCGTGCCAAAGTTGGAGGAATAGGGCTGACACGGAATAGTGCAAAAACGTGAAGTACATAAACGTAGAACAAATCATTGATTGTGACGTCAAATGATAAAAAAGTCAAATTGCTAATGCCCCGAATATGACATCCAGAAAATCGAGAAAAAGGTGTTATGTAACACCACCGACCCTCTCAAAGTGTGCTGGCTCGCTAATGCTCGCCAGGAAAAAGGGGTGCTGACGAGCATGCAAAAGACTATCTTGTTGCATGCTATTAGTGTAGTTAACCATGTGGTGGAATAAACTAAGAGTCAATTCGAGTTATTCATTCTTTGTAATATTATTGTGTGTAGCTAGACTCGTGTGTAGAGATTACGTTGCTGTTGTTGTTGTTGTTTGCTATCCGTTGGTGCCCCTTGATATATCCTAAGAACTTCAGACATGTGCAAACAACAGAGAAGTGTCCAAACAAACAAAGAAAGAACGAACGAAAGAAAGAATGAATGAATAAAAGAAGGAAGGAAGGAATGAATGAATGAATCAATGAACGAATGAATGAATGAATGAATGAATGAATGAGTGATTAAAATGAGCAACTTGTAATATTCCCGACATCTAATGCGGGAATACATATACCATATTTACTCAATAAGCGCCGCCCGAATCCACCTATACTTTTTAATGTTTGTCATTAATGATCGTATGACTGATGATGATTGGAAGAAGACAACGCTCTTTAGAATGACCTCTTTCTTGTTCATACAATGTTCATATCTCTTTCTAAACAAACTTGAAAGAAAACGTGGCTTGCTTTTTGGTTGATACGGTATTTCGGCAAGAGCACATGAAGGTCAGATAATTACTCCCACATATAGGCCCTCTACCCATCGTAATCCCTCTAAAGTTATTTTTGGAACGCTTCAGTTTTCCTGCGGATAATATTTCCTCGCGCGTTGTGTGAACGTGTCGTGGAGGAGCGAAAGTGCAAAAGCATGTCGGGATCCCACGGGAGTTGGAAGAATGCGAAACAAGGGTCTATCCTCTCTTGATGCGAAATAGTGTTTTGAGAGGTTTTTTTATTCGAGCACATATCACTCGCCATTTGCATCGAGAAAATGAAAATCGTCAGAAGATTCACAAAGGAAATTAGTATGTGTAATCAAATGGTATACTCGTGAACCTTTAGGCTCGGGAAATTATTAGGATTTGGACAAAACGCGCGTAAAATTATTCCCTAATTTCACGAGTATACCAGTTGATTACCTATTAATATTATGGGTGACGAATTACGTTACCAATTTTGGATTTTTGACATGTTTATCCTGGATCGTATCGATCGAGAACTCCCGAAGGGGGCACTTGGGTATTTTTTGGGTGGGTATGTGCCGCCCGGGACTCCAAATTGGCATCCCGTTCTCAAAAAATTTCCCCTAAAATTGATACTTAGTTCTAGAAATGGGCCAATTTTTTATACCCTGTTCTAGAATTCGCCCTAAAACTGATGCCCCGTTCCAGAAATGGGCCAATTTTTTATACTCCGTTCTAGAAAGTTTGTAAATTGAAATAGCCCTGCTTTTGTAAACAGATATTTCTTTATCTGTTCGACTTATACGTCAAATAAATGCTTCTTCATAAGCATCCGGAGTACGTTTCCTGTGCATGTGGATACAATGCGGTTAATTATGACGCAAAATTTCTCACCACGCACAGAACCACGCTCGTAAGCTAACGATTTTCCTTCTCTTGCCCTGTCGGGTACATTATGGACTCGTTCCAGACGTCTGCGCGCCTATTTATCCAAGATGGCGGAGTCAGCGCTCGAGGCTCGCGCCAAAATACGCCCGCCCTGCACGCTAAAACACAGGGTGCAACAAGAGTACAACAGTTTGCTTGTTAACGCATTGAACCGTATTTTTAAAAGCAATCTGTCCTTGAATAATTTCAAATGGCTGCTTACAAAACTGAAGCTTTCGTGCGTTAGAAATATTATACCCCGATCTAGAAAACGCCTCTGAAATGGATACCCCGTTCTAAATGAGGAGCTTCAAAATCACGACCCCGTTGGGTGGCACATACCCTTATAGGTAATGTATGGGAGTACCCCCCCCCGGGCGAGAACTCCACTCTCTTAAATGTTTAGACCTTCATTCACGGCATTTTAAAACTTCGTCGCCATCTTGACACTGAGACGTACGGAAGGGTTGCCATGGCAATTTTGTAATTTCACATGTCAAATTACAAATTAACGCTGAAATTTCGCGCCAAAATTAAGGAGTAATTCGTCACCTATGATATTAAGTCTTATTCGTCCACTAAACGTACACTCGGGTCATTCAGTTTTCCTATGACTGCAGTTTTGTTAACCAAACCTACGTCTGCTGCCAAATTAACAATTGCTTTGCGGACGTCGCAACGCATTGCGTGAGCCAATGCCCAATGCCTAGCTGTCAACATTGGTAAAATTAAGGACACACGATTGGCTCAACCCTCACTCAACCCTCTTGGGAACAAAGGATGTCGGAGAAGATCTATATCTTTAGAGGGATTACGATGGGTATAGGGCCTATATGGGAGAGTAATTCTTCTGACCTTTATGTTTCTCTCTCTCTCTTTTTGTTAATTTAGGAGTTGAAAACGCATGGTCAGCCTTACATCTCCATTTCAAAACATTAAAACAATGAATGAATAAAAAATAAATAAATAAATAAATAAATAAGACCTTTATCCACTTTCTTCGCTAAGGAACAACAGGCTCAGAGAAGTGTTAAAACAATACAAACAAAAAACCACTGGGCTCCAAAGTAGTTGATTTTTTCCTGATACACATATTGGGCGGCACTGGTGGTAATCATGCAGTTCTCATATTTATATGAGAATTTCTACCCTTCCCTATCACTATTTACCGCCGTTTGGGATAAATGTGCTTGAACATTGGATGGTTAGGTAGAACTGTGAGATCACACTTGCAACTAACGATTCTTCTTACCCTCTACCGTGTTTGAAGTAGACGTAACTTGATTCACTTCTTCTTTGTCTGAAACGGATGCACGTTTTCGTGACCCATTCATTCATGCCATCTCTTATGGCCTTCATTGCTCTGGAATTTCTTGCTAGAGAGTTAAAGGAGGCGTTAAATAACCACAATAATGATCCTCACTGTGACCTCAGCGTGCGGGACGAAATGTAGTCAAATCCAGCCATTTGTGGTCTGGCCAGCATAATGCGAAAATTTCGCTTAATTTAGTAAAGGAACATTTCTCTTACGCAACAATTTCAAGAGAAGGTACGGATGTACAAAGACTTTTTTTTTTGAGGCCAGTTTTTCCGAGCATATTTCTTCCGATTGCAACTTGAATTATCGTGCTCGGCAGTTATTTTTGTTCTTTTTGAAGCTTTAATTCTGCCATGTAGAGCTAATTTCTTCGCTAACGCTACGTATTGTAGCGAGTAAATGTAAAAACTAAACAAAATCTGCTGACCATGGGAATTATCTTAACTGAAAATAATCTCGCCCTTTTCTGAAAATTATTTGGTAGCATTTTTTGTGGGACGATTATCTGGACGGTGGGACGATTATATAGCTGAGGCGGCATAATTTTGACCCAAAACTGTCCACAAACGTTCGATCTTTACCGTCATAGAAAGCTTACCAAGAGTTGGGTCGATCGCATAGACAATGATTCCACTTGGCCACTTTCCATGAATTTTACTTGAACCTCTTTTCCGGCCAGGACTGTCGACATCTTTCCCATGCTCTGCATTGTATCGTTGTTCAGGGGTAAGGCGCATGTCACCCTCAAACAGATCAGGCTCATTGTCATTCCGGTTCTCTGCAAAACAAAGCGATCAATGTAGAGGCCCTGTTAGGGGGTTCTTCTTATCCCTTATTTCTGTAACTCTTAGAACAAATATCCCAAGAATGTTAGCACCCTTAAAGTCAGGGACCGCGCAGGGGGAGGGAATGTGGGGAAGGGGCGGGGGAGAACTTGCCCTTCTCCCGCATTCTTTGTGCGGAATAAAAGAAAAAAAATGTTTTCCAAAAATTTTTAGTTGCATTCATGGTAGAGAAAAAAGAAGATATAACTGTAGCTGAATATATGCAATAATTATTGTGATTGTTAAGGCAATAAAATAAGGGCTACAATAAGGGCTTTTATTTTGTCGGAAATTTCGTTGTGGTTCAGTTTTATCCTTGGTTCAAATTTTCTTTTCTTTTGTTTTTGGGTA